CCTAAACCCTAAGCCCTGAGCCCTGAGCCCTGAGCCCGGACCAGGGTTCAGGCCGAGAGTTTAGGGTTCTTTGAACTTTTGGGTTTTTGAGAATGGGGATTAGGATGTAGGGCCATGTAGGGTGAAGGGTTGACGGTTTAGGGTTCAGAGTTTAGGGCATAGAGTTCAGGGTTGCTCATCTGGACTTGGGGCTTCGGGTCTCAGGCGTTCTGCACTTGCGCCGTAAAGGACCTACTTTACAGCCCAAGCCCTTAGCAGGTAGCCCTTTAACCGTTAACCCTAATCAAACCTAAGTCGACGCAGCCGCTGGCCCAAAGTGGCCAACTTCCTGGCGCTCGCAAAGCGACTGCTGTAGTGCCGTACTTGCGCTTTGTCCCCCAGAGCCACTTACCTAAAGCCCTGAACCCTCAACCCCAAAACCCCAAACACCCTAACACCCTAAACCTTGAACCCTAAACCCTAAGCCTGTAGCCCTTTGAGCATGAAAGCCTGTTTGGGGTGTAAGGTTCATGTTCAAACTATCCTCGACCTGAGCCCAAAACCCCCTTGAACTCGAGCCGACCGGGCCACAGATCCAAAGCAGCAGCGTCCTGCGTAGCTCTAAACCCTCAACCCATGAGCCCCAAGCCCTGAGCCCTAAACCCTAAACCCTAAACCCTAAACCCTAAACCCTTCTTCCCCCTAACCCCTCCCCCTCCCCCCTCTCCCCCACCACCCCCGCCCTCTCCCCGGCCTTCCTTGTGGAGCGACATGGTCCTGCTGAGCAACCGCAGCGCGGCCTGCGCAGCCTTGGGCAAGTCGCGAGGAGACTTTGGGGGGGGGGGGGGGGTCAGGGTTTAGGGTTTAGGGTTTGAGGGTTTGAAGGTTTTAGGGTTTGGTTTAGGGAATCAGGGTTTAGGGTTTTAGGGCTTTAGGGTTTTGAGCTGTTAGGGCCTTGGGGCTTTGGGGGTTTAGGCCTCTAGGGTGCTTAGGGTTTAGGGTTTTAGGGTTTTAGGGTTTTAGGGTTTTAGGGTTTTAGGGTTTTAGGGTTTTAGGGTTTTAGGGTTTTAGGGTTTTAGGGTTCTAGGGTTTTAGGGTTTTTGGGTTTTAGGGTTTTAGGGTTTTAGGGTTTTAGAGTTTTAGGGTTTTAGGCTTTTAGGGTTTTAGGGTTTTAGGGTTTTAGGGTTTTAGGGTTTTAGGCTTTTAGGGTTTTCGGGTGTTAGGGTTTTAGGGGTTTTAGGGGGTTAGGGTTTTAGGGTTTTAGGGTTTTCGGGTTTTCGGGTTTTAGGGTTTTAGGGTTCTGGGGTTTTAGGGTTTTAGGGTTTAGGGTTTTAGGGTTTTAGGGTTTTAGGGTTTTAGGGTTTTAGGGTTTTAGGGTTTTAGGGTTTTAGGGTTTTAGGGTTTTAGGGTTTTATGGTTTTAGGGTTTTAGGGTTTTAGGGTTTTTAGGCTTTTAGGGTTTTAGGCTTTTAGGGTTTTAGGGTTTTAAGGTTTCGGACTTAGGAGGCTTTAGGGGGCAAACGGCTTGTCAACACTAAGGGTTTCAAGATTTCATGTATAGGACGGGCTAGATGGGGCTCAAAGCATCATCCAGCAGTCAGGGCTGAGACGGTTGGAATTTCAGGTTCAGGGCTTAAGGTTTTTTGACCATAACCTTCCGCCCCTCGCCACACACATAAAAGGGTAGGTAGGGTTTAGGGTTTTCGGTTTCGGGTTTAGGGTATAGGGTTTTGGGTGTCGGGCTAAACCCTAACCCTTAAACCCAAAACCCAAAACTTAAACCCTAAACCCTTAACCCTCGACCCTAGACCGGCAAGCCTTGCAGGACTTTCCGGGGACTGGAGTGCACTTCAGCTGCAGACATCCGGGCTTCCCTGTAAGTCATGGACTTCATTTTCGATGAAAGCATCAAAAGGTTTAGGGTTTAGGATTTACGGTTTAGGGTATAGGGTTTAGGGTTTAGTGCTTAGGGCCTAGGGCTTAGTGCTTAGGGTTTGGGCCGTCAAAGCACCAAGCGCTAAAACTTCCCGCCGCATGGTTTTCCGTCGTAGAAAAACACGTCTGTTTTTGAAAGCACGCGTTTTTCCAATGGTCTTTTTGTGATTTTTTCAAGGCCTTCGAAACTCAAAAAACATGCCCCGTTTGTACAGAATTGTTGAATACCTCGGGTTTTTGCACATTCACGGGCGTCACATTACGAGTTGGGCGAAATGAGGTTGCGAGGAGCAAAAATGCTGGCATTTGCAGTGTTTTCGGGGTTGGCAGGCGAAAGCTCAGCGCTTTCACATAACACGAGATTTTATGGTTTTTTGGCATTGTATTGGAACATGTTTGGGTGGGATGGTTGCTAATGTGTATGTAGAGTGTCGAATGTGATGACAGGGGAATAGGTTATTAGTACAGCATGCTCTTACTATTATGCAGTGTACATAGTATGCACAAGCGCTATTCTTTTGTTGATTCCTGCCCGTCATACTTTCCGAAGAACCACCGCTTAAAGCGGCGAGAGTCAGGACTATCAAAGAATGAGATGGGCGACATCTCGGGGGATCAGGGCTGCACTGCTTTGGGATCTCAGGGCTGCACTGCTTCGGGGACTTGGTTTTATTTTTTGTAGGGACGGGGAGTTTGGAACCCTAATGGCTGCACGCAAGACAATGGACGTAACCACCCCCCCCCCCCCCCCCCCCCCTCCCACCCCGAAACGCGGTTCGTTTTACCTGACGGTAATCCATGCGGTAGCTAAAACTTCACCCATAAAGTTACGGTTTCGCATGTAGGGCTGAAGGCGGAGGATTTTTGCACATAATATCCCATACGCCTAATAACACCTATTTGAATAGAATACCAACTACTCGTACTCCAAATGCTGATTCTACGAGCAATTGAACAGGCACCTTTTCGTCGTTTTACGTTGGCACCTACTTCGCGAATTTCCCTAAACCCTAAACCCTAAACCCTAAACCCGAAACCCCAAACCCCAAAACCTAAACCCTAAACCCTAAACCCTAAACCCTAAACCCTAAACCCTAAACCCTAAACCCTAAACCCTAAACCCTAAACCCTAAACCCTAAACCCTAAACCCTAAACCCTAAACCCTAAACCCTAAACCCTAAACCCTAAACCGGGCAAGGAGTGTGCGCTGGGTAGCTCCCAGGGCCGTCAGCCCTCCACCGACTCTGCAGCACTTTCCCAAATCAGGTCCCCTTTTTGGGTGCACATTGCAAGGCGGCACCCGTCTTTAAAAGGGATCCCAAAAAGGGTTTAGGGTTTAGGGTTAAGGGTTTAGAGGGACAGGAATTTAGAGAGCTACTCAGCTACTGGCCAGGAAGCTCCCGGAAGCTCCATCTAAACCCATGGCGTTGGATCACCAAAGCCTCGAGTCCAACGGGCTTTTGGCTCCCGTCCCGCGGTTTCTACACAAGAGTGCGATCGTTGCTAAGCACTTTCTGAGGGTCTAGGGTCTAGGGTCTAGGTTGTCCGGGTCGTTGAGACAGGCCGTCTTTGAGAGGTTGTGACGGGATGGGCCGCCACCGACGTCGGTGTTTCGCCTTAGGGGAGGGTAGGCGAGGCATCCCTGGACCTGCACGAAAGCTCTAGGGGTTCTTAGGGGTCCCATATTCAGGAATGTTCTTCGGAGGGTTTTAAGGGCCATCCTACTTCAGGTACCGCAAGCATGAATGAAGAGTCGCATCTTCAGGTGGTGGTGGACGGCCAGGAGTTCCTGGTATGGTCCAGCCGCCCATCCGCACATCAACCCCGTAAACCGTAAACCCTAAACCCTAAACCCTAAACCCTAAACCCTAAACCCTAAACCCTACACCCAAGACCCGAAGCCTCAGTCCCTACGCCCCCAAATCCTTAAATCCTTGAACCCGGGCCCCTACAATCCAAACCCTGTTTCCTAATCCCTGAACCCTGCCGGCCAAGCAAAAAGCTGGATGTTTACAAAGTATTACCCTGCAAGTTAAAGTTTAGGGTTGGATCCCTTGTAAGATGACGAGACAAGTACAAGTAGGTTCCCTCCATTGCATCGAGAATTGGAATAAAACGCTGCACCCAAAATCCCATGGCCCTGAACCCCCAACACCCTAAAGCCTAAATCCATGAAGCCCCAAGCCCTGCACCCCTAAACCCTAAACCTGTAAACCCCCGAGCCCTTCAACAATAAACGCCGAAACAGAGGAACCCGTTCCTGCAACAGGTCTAAACCCTCAACCCTAAACCCTTCTAACTCGAGCTGACCACGGGGTTTCCGCCACAACCTGCAGAAGGTTTGCTGCAGCGTGTCAAACATTACGGCCATGCCTTTGCCTGATATTACAGCTACAAGGCGTCTCCTTTAGGGTTTAGAGTTAACTTGGTAGCCCTGCTAAACCCTAAACCCTAAACCCTAAACCCTAAACCCTAAACCCTAAACCCTAAACCCTAAACCCTAAACCCTAAACCCTAAACCCTAAACCCTAAACCCTAAACCCTAAACCCTTGCTGGACCCTAGGTTCCCTGATAAAGTAACCAACCCCAAGAAGGGTGCCCTTGTTGCCATACTGTTGCTGGGTTGCTGGGCTACCAAGGTTAACAGGGCTGCAAATAGAGTTATATCCAATCGAATTCTTCGTGTGGAGCCTAACCTCGGTCTCTCAACCCCCCTAAACCCCCAAGCCCCTAAACAAAACCCCAAACCCCTAAACCCATAAACCCCCAAACCCCTAAACCCGAAACCCCAACCCGAAACCCCAAACCCTAAACCCTAAACCCCAAAACCCTAAACCCCAAACCCTAAACCCCAAACCCTAAACCCTAAACCCCAAACCCCAAACCCCAAACCCTAAACCCTAAACCCCAAACCCTAAACCCCAAACCCTAAACCCTAAACCCCAAACCCCAAGCCCTAAACCCCAAACCCCAAACCCCAAACCCCAAACCCCAAACCCTAAACCCTAAACCCTAAACCCCAAACCCTAAACCCTAAACTCCCCGACCAGGCCTTCTCGCGGCCTGGTCCGACACGTTCGCGGCC